TTGTTATTGTACAGTGCTTTTGCAGGACCATATTGTAAAACAGCGGTAAGATCTCGCCTGTATATGTTATCCTGTCTAAAGATGTTTTAAATAAAATAAAATAAAAATAAATATAAATATTGCGCCTTTCCCTTGCGGTTATGAAGCGCAAGCCAAGCCTTAATAAAATTTAGGAAAACAATGGTAGGCACAAAATCAGTTATTATTCAGGAACCAAGTGCATCACAATACAGTCCCACAAACAACAAAGACAAGTATACACATTATAACAATAAAATACAAAAGGAAAGAGCATCAAGATGGCTTAGGCACGTTTAAAATTATCATATTAAAGAGTTGTTTTTGTCATAAACACAATGGAAAGATGTTTATCTTTTAAATGTCCTACTCACTTTTAAATACAACCAGTAATGGACTTGGTAATCCGATGACTTCACTGCTTCTGTTATTATAGAGCGTTTTGATTTGCAAAACCAGAGTAGTATAGTATGGAATATCTGGGATAAGTCTTCCTTCAGAAGGCTTTCCATCAAATGTGTTGTTGCTGATATTCCAGGCTGCCACTGCATCCCACCATTCAACAACGTAACCCGTTACACATCCAATGCCATCATCACGATTGAATGCCCACTCGGTCCAGTTGACGCTGATACCAAGTGAACTGCGTGAAATACAAGATGGTGGATTTTGTAGAACCGGCGGATCTATTCAATACAAGAATATAAAAAATAATATTATTTGAAATGATTGCTACATGATTGTTAAAATACTCGTCTTTTTCACTCCAGGCCATTTGCACTCGACATATCATCTTCGACAACACCAAATGATTAGCTTTTCTGAATGTATTACATCATTGATGGTAATAAAGAATGGTGTGTAAGTAGTGGCCGTTTTCTCACAAATAGTGCCAAACATGTGTCGAAAATATCTCGTACTAGGGGAGTTGTGTTTTATTTTTGATTCATTAACTGTGATCTGCATAGCATGTGTTAGTCCAAGGACATTTTATTTATCTCCGATAAAACAATATACCAGTTTAAAACAAAACAATACATAATGATTAGTCTTACTCAAACACGTTTACATTAAAACAAAATATGAATAAACATGGCTATTTATGGTATTAAATTACCAAATACGATTATGAACTAAATATATTTATGCGTTATATGCGTTGTATGCAGATGATGTACCGATGATCGTAATATGCCTGCAGGGTTATGTACAATACTTACATATCTGATGAAATGCCAGCGGACTAGCTTTTCCAACAAGTAATACACCGTCGACCTCAGTAAGAACCTTTACTTTGAAACTGTATTCCGTGTTGTAGTTCATATCTGTGCACGTTACGCTCGTTTCGGTGCCTACTGTAACATTTAGAACAACTAAATTGCTGGTATCATTAGTTGGCCAAAATTCCAACCGATAACTATCAACGTTCCACAGCCGTAGTCATTGTTAAAATTCCAGATCGACCAACTAATATTGAAATAATTCGCAAACATTTTGATGAGTGGAGCATTGCTTAGAGCTGGAAGATCTTGATCTAGATAATAGTTGATTTTAAATATTCTATTTTTAATAATACATAATTCTAAGAATTAAAAAAA